AAAAAAAAAGTATAATTATTATATGTGTAATAAAAAACTGCGGGAAAACGAAATGACTTCTATTAAAATTTTCATCTTGTATGCCGATAGGAAAATTCGCACGTACGTGTCCATAAACAAGTGTATTTTTTAGTATGAGATCCACACATACATCAAGTTTCACAATCAAATTAATGACACACGGATGTAGTTTTTTACCATCACACCGTAGTTTTTACCATCAAATTAGCAGATGCGCATGTGGGTATAACTTTTACAATAAAATTAACACACATACACGTGAGTGTGTAGCATAACTTTTTACCATCAAATTTATACACATATGTGGTATAATATTACCATTAAATTAACACACATACAAGTGAGTATATAGCATAATTTTTCACCATCAAATCATCAAGCTATATATTTTAGTTTTTACCTTTAGATCAACCAGTACCACTACCGTGTGCTGCTAGGGCACATTTGCACGCGCCCCCTTACTCCCCAAAACTCCTCAATACTAGAGAAATTTGGAGAGTGTAGTTCACATCCCCAATTTTCCTTTTAAATTGAAAAATAGGACATATTACATAAATTAAAATATCATTAATTATTTATATTAAAAAAATAAAATAAAAATACCACATGGACGCGGTTATTGGCAAGAACTTCATCTTATTCTATAACATGTTCATTTAATCATGTAACATGTTCATCTTATTATTTAATATGTTCATTTTATTACGTAACATGTTCACCTTATTGTGTATGTAACATGTTCATCTTATTATGTAACATGTTCATCTTATTCTATACCATGTTCACCTTATTGTGTATGTAACATGTTCATCTTATTCTATAACATGTTCATTTTATTTATGTAACATGTTCACCTTATTGTGCATGTAACATGTTCATCTTATTCTATAACATATTCATTATATTATGTAACATGTTCATCTTATTCTATAACATGTTATTTTATTATGTAACACGTTCATCTTATTTTAGAACATGTCCATCTAAATTTCATCTGTGAAAATGTAATATTTTCATCTTATTCTATGACATGTTCATCTTACTCTATAACATGTTCGTCTTACTATGTAACATATTCATCTAATTATAGATTTATGTCATAATCTTCCAATAAGATAAATTAATTGTAAAAAATGATAAATTAATTGTGTTTAAAAAAATATCAAATGATATCAAATGTGGTCTCTATTTGTAGAGAATGAAAAATTATGAATTTTGGTATTTTTATTTTTATTTTTTGATACAAAATATGAATGATAATTTAATTTATATAATATGAAATATGAATTTCATTGCCCAATAGAATTGAGACACATGTCCCATTTAAAAAAAAAAAAATCTGTTGATAAACGGATTTGATCAACTTTTTATATCTGAACCTTAAGATTAATGCGGTAATGAGAC